GTTCATATATTTGACCGGCCTAAGATATTGTGGATTTAATTTGAAATATAATGAAGTTGCTAAAGGATTAGATATTATAAACCGATTTTCTGGATACCTAGATTTGATGCGAGGCAAATGACAAATTGTTCGATTCTAAGATGTTCAAGTTCTGATTTAAAGCCGTTTTCATTTTCAGGAGATATTAGCTAAAAATGATATTTACGAGAACTGGCAAATTTGCGATGAAGGGTGGGGGGGGGGGTTATGTGTTTACTCCCTATTTTATCATACAAATAAGGAAATATTTATTGTTAGGCAATTCGTAAAAGCATCATAACACCTTTTTTTTAAATTAAATTTTTACAAATATCTGAAAAACTAAGAATTTTTATTAACAAGAAAATTTATTTTACTAAATTTTCAGAATCATTTTTTTTGTTCCATGTCGATTCAGATTTTATCGCGAACCTTTATAAGACAATATCGCGAACTGCAAAATATCTTTCTCTTTTAACAGGCTATTAATTATCAAAACCGTTGGTTAGACAACTTTGGAATCAATCCTATTTTTGTGTTTAAGTATTTGTTTTTCTTAAATGTGGGTAAAAGAATGTTTGATTTTCATATAATATAATACTTTGAGCTTTTGTTACTAAAATTTGAATTGGCAACATTTTATTTTCTAGATCCTTTATAAACAAATTAAGTCCATGGGATGCACACCCTGTGTATTCGATGTTAGATATTTATTTCTTAGAAGTACCTGTGCTTTCTTCATATTGCATTATCAGTTATTATGGTGTTAATTGTTGTGTTTTCTATTTCTTCAATAGATATATATTTCCCCGTATGCATAGGTCCCTGTTTCAATTGATTTATAGAATATGGGGCTCGGGTGCTATAATGAAATTTTTAGTGCATTCCCACGAGCCGCGAAACCGAAACTAACCGTTATAATTTTCTGAACCGTAACCGAACCGTTATGAAGAAATATAAAAAGAGCGAACGGAAGGGTTATAACTATTTTAAGGTTCATAACGGTTTTTTAAATTATTAGCCTACATTTGAAATTTTAATTTTCCTTGGAGGCAATTTAAATTTGTGATTTTCATTCAAATTAAAAAATTTTATATACAATTAAACCGCCATTTTCTTCATATTAATTAATATCTAGTATTGTTTTTCTTTATATACTCAATTTAATAGAGATTAGGAAAATTATTAATTAATTAAATAAGAAGTAATTTTAAAACAGTTATCTTACAAAACTATTTTTGGCTAAATTAGTAAGTTTATTCTTATATACATTATTTATTAATTAGTTTTTATAATAATACTTGCTTTTAATTTAGGGAATGAACCGAACCTTTATACTTAACAGTTTGAAACTCTGTCCATTCCCTTATATTTGTCCACCCATCACAAAGGAGAGCCTAATTTTTATTTTTTCTAATCTTTCGGTTATTATATTTTTAATCATTTCATATTCACTGTTTAGCAAATTTTTACTAAGTAAATATATTAAGGATATTTTAACCCTTTCATGCACATAAATTTATGATCAGATCCAAAAAGTCCAATTTTGCAATAAAATTTTTATTCAAAATAATGAAAACATATAACAAAAACCTCATAATTTCGTTATAATTTTATTTTTAATATTTCATAAGATATTACAAAAAAAGTGGTACATCTGCTATCTAACTGTGCATATAAACATATTTATGATTTTATCATGATATTGTTTAAAACATCGACTCTAAGATATACATAACGACACATCACAAACCCAGCTTATTCAGTCTGAACGATGTTCATCGATAACTGTTGAACAATGAGAACTTCTTCTCCTTTGCTCTGATCTTATAGGTAAATGTGAGGCGGCACATCTCTTAATATCCAAAGGCACTTTCTTTTTATTTTTTGATATGGCTGGACTCTGCCGATAAGCTGTCCACATAAATTATCATTTCTGCCAGCATACAGCCATTCTAAAGTTATTCTTAGTCATACATGGTAGGGCTTGGTAAAGTTTATCGAAATCAGAAGATTCGCATTGAGTTGTCTAAGTATTATAGTTTTTATGGATATGGATAAGCAACCATTCAAACTTATACAGGCATTAGTTTAGATATATATTCATCATGGAAATCGAACATTAAGTTCCAATAATTCCAGGAGGCTGGTATTTTTTTCATCCCCATTAACAAGCGCTGAAAAAAATTCCAATTTCAAATTGGCAGATTTAAATCTATAAAATAATAATAATAACTATAAATACCAATGAAAACAATATTTATTTTACCGTTACATATTTTAGGGCATATAAATTAGCTTGAAATGTCAAAAATTCCGGGAAAAAAATCCAAATAATTGAATTATTTTTTATGGATTTTCGGTCCATAAGTTTATTAACGTCAATATGTGGTGTGGATATTTATTGAGGATCATTTTTCTAATATTTGGGAGTATATAATAAATTTACAAGGGGAAAATTTTCTTCTGAGGCTGAGTATTCATCAATATAATCTACTTTCATCAGTGGATGACATTCTGCATAGTGGGATTCATTGAAACCCATTATAAATAATATAATTATTATTAATAGGATGCATTATATATTAAAAGAATGGGTTATATAAATCAATGTTGAAGTAATAGATACAAAATGTTACAATAACTAATTGAATACTTTTAGAAATATGAATTTTTATAATATCCATTTAGGGAAAATCTGGAAAATATTCGAATAAAAATTTCAATATGATGAATTTCAACGAGATTTTAAAAAACATTAAATAAACATCATTATAAAAAAATAATGTTTTAAGTATATGTAGAAATGAAATAAATACATTTAAAGGTGGGTTAAATTTTTTACTTTTATGCAAAAATTTGGAAAAAGTGGTGGGTTATGCTTTGGCCTGGCGTGAATGAAAGAGTTAAATGCCGATTTTAAAGATTAAAATAATTTCTTTTATTACCCATTTGTTTTCTTATGATACACTATCAATATATTTCATTAAATTGTTATTTCAGAAATTTACGTTATAAGTTAAATTTAAATTAGAAGAGGAATTGATTTACCCTATTTAGGATTTTCATTTTTTTGTATACTCGGAAAAAAGACATAAGAGCCAAGGAGGAGGGAATCGCCATATGTTTTTAGGGAGAGATAGCAAATTTTCTAAAAGTTACTCAAGGGATAAATCCCTGAATTTGAGATATCTCCACTCACTATAGGTGGGCGTGGGTCGAGAAATTACGCATGACCCATTGTGTCACGGTGGGTCACGGCGTGAGTGTGAATAAATTTTAAATTATTAGGCGTGATAGCCCTTCCCAAAAATTTTCCCGGGCGTGATCGGGCGTGAACATAAATTTCTCTTTAGTCACAGAAATTTTAATTTAAAAATTTTTTTTTCATAAATATAAATTTGCAATTTTATAATTATAATATATATTTTCTAATTTAATTTAGTTCTTTTTTTAAAAAAGAATAATTTATAAAAACAAAAAATCTTCTCATTTTATAGAAACATCCGGTATCATGCCGCTATTTCTATTTTCTTTTTATGTTTAAGTGTTTTATCGCGATACTTTTTTTAAATTTTGCTTAAACATTTTACAGAAAAGTCAGTTACAGAAAGTGAAGGATTTTTGCAAGCTAGGCCAAGAGTTAATAAATGTAAAGTATATTTATGAGCCGGAAAACTCTCATGAATACTGTAGCTCCAAAAATGTACAATAAAATTAAAATTATAAGCATGATCAATAATAATTACGTGTCCATAACAATTAATTTTTAGACGGATGATTATAAAAATCGAAGTTTTTTAACCATTACAGTGACATATTATCATTAAGGATTTTAAATTAAAAACATTTGTTTTGGCCACAGAGGAAATAAACAGGCGTCAATATTAAAAGTGTAGTTAATTCAAAGAAGAATATACAGAAGTATAAAATTATTTAATTAAATGTTTAGTTGTGACTGATAACGGAGCAAATCTTATAAGTGCATTCAAAGCTGACGAAACGCTAGCATTCATATGTCATATGCTAAATAATATTATGCCTTGTATTTTTGAGTAAGCCACACCCTTAAACAAGCTGTAATAACGAGATGCAACTCTGTATATATCATGATGCAGAGTTTCTTAAAATCTTATTCTGAAATACAGATATAAAAAACCGTATATTTTAAATGAAAAATTTAGAAAATTCTAGATGATTCTGATGAAACATCAACATCTACCGATGAAAGCTGTAAGGATGAACTTAAAAGATTCATCGCTCATAAGGCAAATAACAAGAAAATATTTTGAAGTTTTGGAAACAGGAATATTCATTTCCTTTTTTGAGAAAATTAGCGAGTAAAATTTTGTCATCCCGGCAAGTTCAGCTTCTAGTGAAAGGTTATTTTCTGTAGCTAATCTCTTATTAGAGGAAAGGCGTACATAATTGAAATAAAAAAACATGGACATATTTTTCTAAATAAAAATTCGATTTACAGATTGTATTTATTTTTAGTTATTAATATGGATTATGAAATTAGAGTAATAAATAAAATAAATTCAAAATAAGTGTAAAATTATAGCAATAGTTTTGAAAATTTACATCGTGAATTTTCGGGCGTGAATTAAAATATTGCCTTTCATGATCGGGCGGGTCGGGTCAAAATTTTCTAGTGGTAAGCGGCATGCATTTTTTTATTGCAACCGTGAGCAGGCGGGCCGTGAATACAAAAATAGGCCCACGCTCACCTCTAATCTCCACATTATAATTGATAATTATTTTTATAGATGAAGCAATTATATCTGCCTTGATTAAATTAGTCTCTTATGTTTGCTTTAGATAATTATTTGAATGATATTATTGAGTAGGATAAATGTTAAAATATCTGATTTATTTATTGGGAAGACATTCATCCTTTGTTTAAAAATTTATACTCCCTTTCCTCGCAATATTTACGATATAATATCACGTAAAATAACAAAAATATCGACGATCATAAGACATTATAGAAACAAATGCCCGCAAGACCCCTCAACAGAAATTGCATTGCGTATATCGGTGCAGCAAGCAAATTTTCGCTATGTTATCCGAAAGCAAAAAGAAGATCTTTAAAGCGGAAAATAACCTTCACACAGATTCTAGTGAAAAGGATCTCAGTGTGTACTCCGATCAATCCTCACTTAATCAGGTAATTTATTTTCCTTCTCCTCCCCTATATCATTTCTCCTCTTCATTTTATTTATTTTTCTTTTATATTTAGATTTCACTTGGTATAATACTACACATATAGGCTTTTTCTAAATTGATATATCTCCAAAATTTAATTCTTTAATCTTTCTTAAACATTGTTTCTTAAATGTGATCGTTTCGAAGATCAAAATTAATTGATAATCTATTCTTTCTACTATGGCATATTTGTAAAATAATTACATAATCTGGATATTTTGGTTCCAATTTTTAATTTTAGGCCAAGATTAAATGATACTAATTAAATAACCCTGTTTTTAATTTACCTTATGTTCTAGGATCGCGATTATTTAAAAATATGGAATGTATTCTATATTGACGTAGTTTTTGTTATGTACTTTATATTAACGTTTAACAACTTCTATATACTAAATTTTAATTATATCCGCATTAAAGACTTAGTAACCCTTATTGTTAAACCCAGTTATCATCAAAGATATTAAAAAGAAGTTCTTGTGAGATTATTGTTAAAATATTTTTTGTATTTCATAACAAATTTTATATGATGATTCTTATGTTGAAATTCGGCTAGTAAAGTTATTATAATATTTTACCTAAAAAGGTTAACCAAGATTTTTCGGATCTCTCCCTTCTCGGTGCATGTAAAGACGTAAACGAGGACAAATTCACCATTGTCGAAGATACCAACCCAAATACTAATATAATTCTTAAAAACAAAATTATTGTCGAATCAAAAAATTCCGAAAAATCGAACCCACAAGGAACATCGTTCAGAAAAATAACCAATAATATTACAAGCGCCGATGAATTTTTGCCAGCCCTCATTTACGTCATACTAAAAGCTAATCCGCCTATGCTTCAATCCAACATGATTTACGTTTCCAAATTTTGCTATCCCAACAGATTGCTCCGTGGGGAAGCTGGATACTATTTCACAAATTTGGTTTGAATTTATATTTAATGTTTCCTTCAATTACTCTTATTTTCACCAATAAAGTTTGCTTGCCCTTTTTAAAAACTTTCTTAAATTTTCGATTTTATTAAATCATAATCATATGTTAGTTTATAGTATAGTAACGTTACTTTTCTATCCTTGAGGAAATGCTTTACTTATTTTCTTCTTGCTTTTGCCCTTTTTTAAACATTCCTTTCATGCATAACTCTAATAAAGGTTTGGACGCTTTTTTCACACACTATTACTTCTTTTGTTTTTTATAATCTAAAATAATTAAATTTTCTTTGAAACATTAAAAAAAAATCTATTTAAGATTTAATTTTATAAAAATAAATGCCTTATATTTTTTAAGACAATATATTAGCCATGTTTAAAATTAATAGCTTTAATTTGATATACATCAAATATAACGAATAAAAAAACATTTTATTTATAAAAAAATTTTCTTTAATTTTTCATATATAAAAACTTTTATATATCATATAAAATTTAATTATTTATAAAATATATAAATTTATAATACTTTAAATTATATAATTATTTTAATCATATGCAAGCGTCTTATAAATTATATATACATATGCGTAAATTTATCTGATATTATAAAAATTGTGAATAGCTTAAGTTGTGCTGTAAACGTTACTATAGAAAAGAAACGCGTTACCGTTACTCGTTACGTCTGAAAAAAATAACCCTTTCCCGTTACTCGTTACCTTTTTACGCGTTACTGACTATTCAAAAAGGTAACGAGTTACTTACTCATTACTTAAAAAATTAAATATTATATACAAAAAATTATTTTTTTCCTACAATATATAAAATAAAAAAACCTATACAAAAAGAATATATAATAAGAATAAGAAAATTTTATAAAAAAAATTTCATATATATAAATAAAATTATACAAAAATAATATATTATATATATGATAACATCCTTTTGTAACAATTTTTTATTTATTTTTAGCGACAATTGATTTTCAAAATTTTAATCTCTCAAAACAGCTTTTGCCATGCTAAACACACGTTCAATTGGCGCAGAGGATGGGAGAGTTGTATTATATTTAATTCGGGGAATTTATTAAAAATATTTAAAGAATTATCTTTATTTTGAAAAAAAATTCATTTCCTCATCAAAAAAATTTATCTTTATCAGAAAATATTCTGGTATGTGTGTTAAATAAAGGAATTAAGTCTGCTTTTTATCAAGATCTTTTCTCGAACTGGAAATAAGTTCTAGCGTAATTCCTTTGTCGACCTCTAATTTTAACAAGGGCCATTCCAATTTAAATAGCGGGTGAATTATTGCGGATAATATATTTTCATTTCTATAGATGTTTGAATCTATTGAATAAAAAAATAATTAAAATGTAAATTGTCATTTGAAGTGTATACCTTTTATTTATGCCTTCCAGGATTGAATTAATAAGCGGCTTACAAAACTTAAATTATTTAAAGCTATTTTTTTAAGTTTTAATATTATAATAATTATCGTGGGAATGAGATATCCCAAATGCATTTTTCCCCGTTCTCTAAAATTGAAAGAGCCGCAGTAATCGGTTCCATAACCAATAAAATCGGTAATAGGGAAAAAAATCCCCGGAAAAAACCCCCAGGAAAAAATACCCCCGGATTTTTTTTCTTCATATTTATAGAATTTGTTATAAGAAGCAATTCTCAATTCCAAACACGTCGAATTAAGATTCGATTTCCTCCAGAAACTTGGAACGTGAATCAGAGCACTCTATCCGACGAAGAACGCACAAATAATCAACGCGAAGGTTGGAATCATCGTTTTTCTAATCTGGTTGGGAATAAACAACAATCTGGGTATTGATTAAAAAAATGGAATGCGAGATGGCTACCGATGAAATCAAACTTGAACGATGGCGTGTAGATAGTTGGACACCGAAAACAAAATTGCAGAGTTATAATACCCAGATTCGGTTAAAGAGACTTTGCGAGGAATACCGTAATGGAGTGCGAAGCCTTCCAGATTTTATAAGAGCGATTTCCTTAAATATTCAAAGTCAACCCATATTATTATTAAATTATTAAATTTGTGTAACATAATCATGATTTACCAATAAAATGCATATATTTTATTAAAATTTTGTCAAATTTAGTCTACTTAATATGATAATTAAGGATGGATATTGTATTTATTACTACTGCAAATAATCTTTACGAAAATAAGAAATATATTGGTTATTTTACTGGGGTATTTTTTCCCAGTACCAATTTGAACTTCAGCATTTTATCTTGTTTAAGCATTTTTTATGGAAGGGTATATGAGTAATCTTTAAATAATGAATTAGGGCCTAAAGAAATTTAGCTTATTAATATATTATATTTTTTTCTAAAATACTAATTTATCTATGCATTATAAATATGAGTATATCCATTATAATCAATATACAACTCATTATTTCATCCAGAAAAATATTTCGCAAGCCTGAAGAATTTGCTCATAGAAGGAACAAAGGTTTAGACATATATTATCATAATCTCTAGGCTTAAGAAATATTTTTCTGGTTAAAATATATAATTAGCCGTTTTCAAAACTCAAAACGAGCCGTTTAACAACACTATTATTAGGTCATAAGTAAATTCTATATATATGAGAAAAATAAATCCAGGGGTTTATTTTCCGGGGGTTTTTTTCCAGGTGTATATTTTTCTGGGGGGTTTTTCCGGGATTCAATAAAATTATATATATATACATATCATATTTCTTAATTAACACTAACCATACAATATTCTTCCATGAACGACATGTCGTTATCTGAAAATCTCTGTAATTCAGATTTATCACAAGATTCGTCAAATTTTTGGCAATTCTCCTTAAAAAGACTATCTATTAACACGAAGTAATAAAGAGAATTCCATTTTATAACCGGTTAAATCAGATATCTTCCTATGTTTTCCTTAAAAATGGCTGCACAGTTTGAAGATTACTCATGTTTATTCCACAATAGCTTACTTAGAAAATGCAATTTTTGAAATGGTTTTAAAATGGACATCGTTACCTACCTTTTCAATGTCAACATTTGTAGTGTCTTCTTCTGATGAAGAGGGAGGTTCCAATTCTATCATTGTTGACCTTGCTACTGAGTTGGGTCTTGAGATTTGGATTCTGTTAACAGGAAGCCAATTGGTCCATTCGGATTGTTAGGGACGTGATGGCTTGTAAGACATTATGATCCGTGACATTGTGTGTTGTTTGACGTGCTAGGCTCGTTAGGGTTATTGATGGGCCTCAGGATTTGATTATTGTTGGGTCCGGAGTGAGAACGTTAGCGGCTGCCAATTCGGTCTGGGATGTAGTTGAATTCTTAGTTGGTTTAACCATTGAATTTTCCCAATAAAGAAAAGACAAGTAAATATATAAACTTCTTCTCCGTTTATGGCGATTTCCAGGTTTACACAGGTAGGCCAGTTTTCCTTCTGATTTTTCTTTTTCATTTCTGACGGTCCTGAGCATAATATTTGTAGATTCATGTATCTCATATCCGCCGCTATCACATTTGTCCACATCATCTTGGGCCTTCCTCGTCTTGATCCTCCTACTTCCATCAAGGTGCATCTCTTTACCCAGTCATCTTTTGTCATATGTTCCACATGCCCAAACCATCTTAGTCTATTTCGTCGCATTAGCACTCCAATCATTTCTATACACAATCTTGCTCGCAATTCCTTGCTAGTTTTTCTCTCTCCCAGAGATACCCCACACATCCATTCTCATCTCTGTTCTTTCTAATTGGCTTCGTGAGTCGTTTTCATTACCCATGTTTCTCCGCCATAAACCAAACAACTCTTCACATACCTTATATAAACTTTCCCCTTTAACTTCATAGAGACTTTTTTATTTGCTAGAATAGACGACATTTTTGTTTTCTTCCATTGCACGATCTACAAATAAAAGTCATTCTTGCTAACATTAAACTTCCTTTTTCCCGCTACATCTATTATGTACCCATTTCTTGAATTTCTAGCAACTTCTTTCCCACATACACTACAAGGCCACTTACCGGATTCCTCCACTTTAGATTTTCCCCACCAATCATCACCTTTGTCTTTGCTATATTCATTTTTAGGCCCTTTGCTTCCATAGACATCTTCAATTTATTAATTTTATCCCTCAATCCTTCCTCACTTTTTGCCATTAATATAAGGTCATCTGCATATAATAGCTCTCAAGGAAGTCCTTCACATATTTCTCAGCCACCACATCCATTACTAAGATAAATAATAATGGACTCATCATGGATCCTTGATGAAGGCCTACCTTCACTTCAAATCTTTCACTATCATTATAATCCGTCCGTACTGCTGTTTGGGCTCCCACATATATTTCCATCACTGCGTTAACCAACCATTCCTCCACACTTGATTTTCTCAAGGCTCATCTAGTAAACTCACGCGGCACCCTGTCAAATGTTTTCTCCAAGTCAACAAACGCATAATACAGTTTCTTTTCCTTCGAAAGATACTTCTCATATATTTGTCTCACCACAAAAATTGCATCACTGCATTTCATCAATTTTAGTTTGTTCCCTTATCCACTTCTCTAACACCCTCTCAAATACCTTCATTGCATGTTCCAAGAGTTTAATAGCTCCGTAAGACCCGCAATCTAAAGGATCACCTTTTCCCTTGTTTACTGGGATGATTATACTTCTTCGCCAGTCCTCGGGAATAGTTCCTTCTGTGACAATTTGATTTTCTAAATTCATTAATCATTCAATCCTAAGTCATCAGAACCTTTAAACATATCTGATGCCACCATCGTTAAACCCGATGCCTTCCTCTCTTTATTTCATCCTTGCCAAATTTATACCCTGGACCTTCTACCTTTTCACAACTAACATTATTATCCCATTCATTTTCTTCGTTCAAAAGTCTTTCCATGAAGATCTTCCAGGTTTTCTTAATACTACTATCAATCACCATTTTTCCTTCTATATTTTTTAAACATTTAACACCTAC